ACTAAAATTCCAACCCAGTCAAGAGATATACTGAGACAAAGTAGATACTACTTCGTCTCATTAATTTTCCTACGCTTGACACTTATAGGACACTGGGCAGAGCTACCACCGTCAAGAATTTTCGATCCCCCAGAGGATAACAGTGCCGCTTTAAAATTCAACTCTCAATTACATCAGTGAAAACTTTCAGTTAAACACTCAGTATGTAAACAGTCCATTACAAGCAGTGGCAGAACAAGTAATATAACCTTTTTATCATCAATCAGTCATGTGTTTATACTTGTTACAGTACAGGAAATAGAATGGCTGCTCGTAGTATAGATCATACAAAAGGAGACTAACCCTCAGCCACTATAAGATGAGCACAATGTAGCTTTCAAATAAAAAAATAAATATTTAAATGCCCCCGGCAATGCAAAATGTATCCAGACAGGCCGAGCATAACAAAATATAGCTTTATTAGATTGACAGAGACAAAAAACAAACAAACCAAGAAAGTTAGGGTGGGGAAAAAAGTGATTGAAAAGCCCTTCCACCTGAAGTCACTGGGTAGTCAATACATTGTTAAACACAGATTTGCACACACCAGTCAAACACACACACATACACAATTTTTTTTCCCCAGCACTACTAGAGATGACATTTATCATGTTGTATTCAATATTTGCCCGAAGAATAACCTTTCCATCTTACAGTGTATTTTTAGTAATACTAAATATAGAGTTACAAAAAGTGAAAGTAATATCAGCTTTTAGAAGCCATGAATTTTCTGTGGGCACATAAATACAGATTCAAAGTCATACTTCAACCAAGCAGACTCAAAGATGATAACTAAACCACACAGTGAACTCAAATTATACAACATTCAATGGATGGGAAGGGTGGACGCAGCACAAAGCAAATACGCTACTTACTACTTACCTGCTTTAGTGTTACTCACTAAGCACGTCGTTAAATATGAATGGCTAAACAGAGGACAAAATACCCCAGTTAAAGAACTAGTTCACATAAACTATTATACTCTCAATTTTGCAATATGCATTTTATTTGCTAAAAGGGGGTATTTATTTAATAATCATGTAATTTTACACCACTAAACTCTTTAAACATGCTACGTAAACAAGGCCATTCACCTTGTTGCTTGTAGTGTCAGATTAACAGTGGTAAACACCAGATTACAGTAATGGAGGCTGAGTGACTGCAGATTGTGGGTACCATAGATAGCAGATGCAGAAGTCCCATGCAGCTCACTTTGAGCCAATTGGTCATGGATTCTAAATATTGCAGTATCAGAGTAAAGGATCATGGGTCACTAACTGAACCCAAATGGAATTTGGATTTTTCTCACAGTCCTTCACCCACTCCCAGTGATGTACTGCCCAGTGTGCTAGTGCACTATGTTGATTTAAGGAGAAAGAATGCTATAAACAGAAAATATGCCAGGAAGCAGAGAAGTAAATCATAATTAAACGCTCCCTTGGGAATTTGACAATAAGACAAGTTTCTCAATCAAGAACACTTATTCACTTCCCTGCCTTCAATGGCCCAAGTGACCGCATAAGGGGACACAATATGACGGGATGTGGAGAGGGATCTGATGGTCAATAAGTAAAAAAAAAAACAAAAAGGCAAATAGCAGTGTGACGAGAGCAATCTCGCCACATTGCATTGGAGAAGCCTGGTTGCTCGCCTGTTGCCTTTGGACTATGGCCCCATGTTAAAAGCCTTCTTTTCCCCTGCAGAAAAGGCTTATTTAACCGGATGCCTGTTCATTCGGTAGTTTAAACCGTATGAACAGCATTACCCCAGATAGCCATCCCGTGGAGTCTATTCGTATGGAGAACAGACTTTGTGAACACTTTAACTCCACGGTGATTGGACTGTGTGCATAGGATCTGAGCGCTATTCTGTACTTTTGTGCGCTCAGATCTAAGCTATCTGGGGATAGGTAGAATGTATATGTTTTGTGCAACAGTTGTAACTTTATACATTTTTATGTCTTATACTGCCATGTGGTTAATGGAGTTTTGCCTCTGTCCTGGGAGATAATTGGATTACTTCCCAATTATCTCCAGGACAGAGGGAGGGAAGTTAGGATGCATTGTGGGGATGTTTTACCTCTGTGTGTCTGTCAAGAGCCATAAAATAAGCATTCATCCCTCACATAGGAAGAGAACATTCCAGAAAAGAACCTACCATCCCTTTGGAGGTCAGAATCAAGGGGTCAGGCAATCAGCAGCTACTTAGTGCTTATCAAACTACAATTCCCATGATCCTTTCATAGTGATTGGTGCTAGACGTAGATAGTTGTTTATCCAGTAAACACAGAATTGCAGTAAATTGAAAACAGAACTGCTAATGTGAGGCAAACAGGCCAAGCGGTTTTTCTTCCAAACCAGCGATTTCAGTTTAATTCTGCAATTTGGACTCCGATTCACCATTATCAAGTGAATAAATCCCATTGTATTTCTGTCTAGTAACAGGTGATTTCAGATCACAATCTCTTAGCTCACCTGTTATTTTTAAAAGATAAGGCTTACAGAGAGTCTGCTGTCCTCAAATAATTATTAACCACTTTTTATTAGATATTTCCTATAGTTCAGCTGTCCGGTCAATCATTTCCCATATTATCAATAGTTTAGGAATGTCAACTGTAACACCTGACACAGGCTGATCTCAAGCATTATAGCATACACCTTGTATGAACCATTGCATCTCACTGTATCTTACCTTGCCTACAGTGTCCAACGGACGTGTAAATTACACATTATAATTGGGACGAACCGGTGGTGATTTCCTCACGCCAACGAGAAACCCATTATTGTTAAATTCCTCTTAAATGATTTGATATTAAATAGTGGGAAGGTGCCTAGAGACTCTACCCAACATAACCACTACACCACAACATTACTTAGAGTGCCCTTTTAATGCTACAATGTGTACAAAGACAGTGTAGCCATTCCTATTCTACACAAACATAAACTATACCATTCACACACAAAGAATTGAACACCTGTCACTTTGCTCCTATTCATTAGAGAACTGCAAAGTTCAACACACATTCTTGCTGGGGTGGGAACAATGCCACTGTGACTATTCTGTCACCTCTTCCCGTGCCATGTCACTAAGACTAGAATTTATCAGAACCAGCATTTAAAAGAACAAGGCAAACTCCAACATGATTTAATATTTATTTCAGAATTTAAGTTCAGTGATGACAATTCTGTTTTTGGTTTGAAATGTATATTCAGCGGTTTATAAAATTAAGATATAACAAACTTATATGAGGCTGTGCAGGTTACCTTGAAAGGGACACTATAGGCATAATAATTTAACCCCTTCCCAATATATATTTAAATTCTACGAGCATATTTATGTAATATTTTTTACATAAGTAATTTTATTGATTGCAATTTGAGGGACCTGCCTGACAACCCAGGCCGAAAGTCCAGAGAATTTAATTTGGTAGCACTGTATTTAACCCTATAACTTTCCATGACACTCTAAAACCTGTACATGGGTGGTACGGTTTTACTCGGGAGACTTCGCTGAACACAAATATTTAAGTGTTTCAAAACAGTAAAACATATCACAACGATGATATTGTCAGTGAAAGTGAAGTTTTTTGCATTTGTCACACACAAACGGCACTTTCACGGATGATATTGTTGTGATACATTTTACTGTTTTGAAACACTAATATTTGTGTTCAGCGAAGTCTCCCAAGTATAACAGAACCCCCCATGTGCAGGTTTTATGGAGTTTTTGAATGTTACAGGGTCAAATATAAGGCTTGGTTTTCCGTTTTTTTTTTACACTGAAATTTGCCAGATTGGTTATGTTGCCTTTAAGAGCGTATGATAGCCCAGGAATGAGAATTACCCTAATGATGGCATACCATTTGCAAAAGAAGACAACCCAAAGTCTTTCAAATGGGGTATGTTCAGTCTTTTTTAGTAGCCACTTAGTCACAAACACTGGCCAAAGTTTGCACTCATAATTGTTTTTTTGTATTTTTAAACACACAAACAAATATTAATGCTAACATTGGCCAGTGTTTGTGACTAAGTGGCTACTAAAAAAAAGACTGGACATACCCCATATTGAATACCCCGGGTTGACTACTTTAAAAAAAAAAAAAAAAAAAAAATAAAAATATATATATATATATATATATATATATATATATATATATATATATATATATATATATATATATATATATATATAGAGTATATATAGTATATATATATATAATATCATTATAGAATGACATGTGATGTAGTGACACGGCTGGCCGAATTAGTCTGGAAGACGTCATTGAGCAAACTTTGACCCTGTACCTCACAGTCAGCAGACACATTCCAGCCAATCAGCGGCAGACCCTCCCTCCCAGACCCTCCCACCTCCTGGACAGCATCCATTTTACATTCATTGTGAAGCTGCATTCTTAGTGAGCTGTCCAGGAGGTGGGAGGCTCTGGGAGGGAGGGTCTGCTGCTGATTGGCTGTAATGTGTCTGCTGACTGTGAGGTACAGGGTCAAAGTTTACTCAATGATGAGTCCGTGGCGAACCGTTCCTGAACCGTTCGGCGAACCGTTCAGGACATCACTACATCACATGTACGTATATATATGTATATATATATATATATATATATATATATATATATATATATATATATATATATATATATATATACATATATATATACACACATATATATGCACACATATATATATACACACATATATATATATTGACATATATACACACATATACATATATATATACATATATACATATATATATATATATGAGTATAGTATATATATATATATATATATATATATATATATATATATATATATATATATATACATATATATACCTATATGTGATGTAGTGATGTCCTGATCCAAATTGCCGAATGGTTCAGGAATTAGCTGGCGATGTAGATTCATCATTGAGTAAACTTTGACCCTGTACCTCACAGTCAGCAGACACATTCCAGCCAATCAGCAGCAGACCCTCCCTCCCAGACCCTCCCACCTCCTGGACAGCTCACTAAGAATGCAGCTCACAATGAATGTAAAATGGATGCTGTCCAGGAGGTGGGAGGGTCTGGGAGGGAGGGTCTGCTGCTGATTGGCTGGAATGTGTCTGCTGACTGTGAGGTACCGGGTCAAAGTTTACTCAATGATGAGTCCGTGGTGAACCGTTCGTGGCGAACCGTTCGGGACATCACTAATGTGATGCGTGATTCAGAGATTTATGACAGATAACAGTGTTACAATGTCACTATTTATACATTTTAAATATATATATTTTGAAACAGCAATGTCCTACTTGTACTTATAGCCCTAAAACTTGCACACACAAAAAAAAGCTAAGAACATGTTAACATTGGGTATTTCTAAACTCAGGGCAAAATTTAGAACTATTTAGCACGGGTGTGTAACAGATTTTGAGGGTCAAAGTTAGAAAAAGTGTTTTTGTTTATTTTTTTGTGACAAACATCCTTGGTCTGCCACAACTGCAGTGTCAAGGTATATATCTTCAGTTTGCAGTACATGTTGTGGTATTTGCTAGGCACATTTGAAATTGCTTGTAGGAGCTAACATTCAGTTGATACGTTACGGCATTTATGAAACATATAAAACTGCTACGCTTCACTATTGGATAAGTACCAGATTATCTGAGCTCTGTCTAGGATCTAGCTGACATTTCGCTCATATGCAAGTGTGTATTCCAAAGATTAATAAAAGAGATGATAGTAGTGTGTCGTATAGGTATTAAAGGCACAGTAAGTAGATTAACTGATCATTAGGCAAGCAGAGGTAACATTATACTGTGTTATGCAAGCTGGTTGTTCAGATGCATGCCTCTGAGTGTGTTACAAGATTTAAACAATATGCTATACCAAGACGTTCAGTATATTAACATGCTAGGACTAAACAGTATTCTACATGTAGAGTATCACCCTGGCTGATCTAGAGTTCGTGAGCTGACATATGTTCCAGGAGCCATCGGCATGGCAGGCCTGATGCTTCGCGGGTAGTAGTGGGCTCGCGGTCAGCCAATGCTCGATCTGCTGAGTCTATGTGACAGCGCACGAGTGTCCGCCAAGGCAGGGGTTCGGGCGAAGTCTCTCCAGACGCGTCTCTGGGCTCCACGTTGGTTTCTTTTTTGGTTGCTTCCCCGTCCGGGTAAGATTACCACTACTGGGCATCAGGAGGTGAGTGTCCACCAGGATGGGTATTTGAGCGCTGTTTACTATGGCTTGCTGTTGGGTGCCATTGTCGGAACTTCTTCAGGGCCGCCGTGCTGCCGGCTGTGTGTTGGGTGAGTGTGTGGTCGGCCTTGCTGTGGAGGTACCTTGCTTGGCATCGGGGTTGGTGGTCGCTGGCAGGGGTATACACTGTGCACTGTTCCGTTCTGTTCTACTAGTTCAGCAGCCATTATGGGTCCAGCTAGGTCTCCACCGCTGCACGCCTGTGACAAGGCTCGTTGAATGGGCGGGTAAGCGATCGCCTGTTGGGCTGCGGTGGAGGGTAGGAAGACCATGGACTCCTCTGGCCCCCTGGGCCAGTGTCTGGAGATCTCGCTGGTGGCTCTGAGCTCTGCGAGAAAGCGGTCCCTTCCGCTGGCTTCGGCGCACGTGGCATCCGGCATTTTGCTCGCCATGCTCAGGCCGTCGAGCGGGGTGGTAGTGTCTTTGGGCTCTGGTTGCATAGCCTCTGGGTGAGGACCGGGATCACCCACGCCAGTCCATAGAGGGGGGGAACAGGGCCAGGTTTCCCTGGGTCAGGGCCCCCGGCTGGGCACTTTTAGGCAGGATAGTGGGGCAGCAGCCGTCCGCCCCTCTCACCACCGGCATGGGCCCCAACTTGGTAGTCGAGGGCCTTACCTCTAGAGGACTGAGGCTCGAGGAGCTAGCCTCACCCTGGATCCAGTGTCCCCGTAGTATTGAGGCCCCTCGCTGTCGGTTCGTATTTAGGAAGTTTTTCATGTTTTATGTGCTTAAATGCTCGTGAGTTGCAGGAGCTGATCTCGCTTGCGATGGTCCGGCCCGCCCCCAGAAAAAGTGTGGTTTTTTAAAAAGAAATTTTCATCATATTTTATAAAAATATTTTATAGTAATTTAAATGATATGATGAAAATAACGGTATCTTTAGAAAGACCATTTAATGGCGAGAAAAACTGTATGTAATATGTGGGGGTACAGTAAATGAATAAGAGGGAAATTACAGCTAAACACAAACACTGCAGAAATGTAAAAACAGCCCTGGTCCTTAAGGGTAAGAAAATTGAAAAACGGTCTGGTCACCAAGGGGTTAATCTAGTTAAAATGGTTAAAAGCACAGAGATTAGGCGCTCGCTATAGTGATTAAGTGATAGAAGTGGGCAGCAGTGACCAGCACAAGGATTCCCAACCTTGTAATAAAACAAATGTGAACAAGAAAACAAAAGGAAACCACGCCCTTAATACGATACAAGTGTACGTACTCAAGGAAGCCTTTATAGGTGAAACGCGTAAAGTGGACTTTTATGGACTTTTCTACAGAGTGATAATCACATATTTTGTTTTTATGTTTAATAAATAGTTATTATACCTTTTATCACTCTGAGATACCATTTTATATTATATATTTTTTATTTCCTGGCTGTCATCTTATCCTATGGTGGGGATTGTACCACCTATGCTTTACAAACTAGAGCGAGGAACGCTCTAGTACATGTGAGTACGCTACCTTACATTTATTTATTATCCTTAAGATATTATTACATACTACATTATAAGGATTTCTATGTCTCTCCATGTGCTGATTGTTTGAGGACGCCAAGAGGCTGATTTCTTTATACCGTGTTTCCCCGAAAATAAACCCTACCCCGAAAATAAGCCCTAGTCGGATTTTCGGGGTGGGCTGCAATATAAGCCCTACCCCGAAAATAAGACCTAGGCATTGTACCTTTGCGGCGAGACTTCCTTCTTCTGCTGTAGGAGGAGCCTCGCGCAACGTGATGACGACATTTTGCAGCGCCGTCAGTCTGCCTTCACGGATCTTCAGCGGAAGGATCCATTTCCGGGCGGTGAGGCTCCCAGTGGTCGGACTCGGCAAGGAATCTTTGAAATGTGAGTACCGCTAGATATTTTATGTCTGGGATTAATTGAATTAATTAAAGGGGGTGGGGGGTGAATTAATTAAAGGGGGGGTGAATTAATTAAAGGGTGGGCTGGATTAATTAGAGGGGGGTGAATTAATTAAAGGGTGGGCTGGATTAATTAGAGGGGTGAATTAAAGGGTGGACTGGATTAATTAGAGGGGGTGAATTAATTAAAGGGGGGTGAATTAATTAAAGGGTGGACTGGATTAATTAGAGGGGGTGAATTAATTAAAGGGGTGGTGAATTAATTAAAGGGGTGGTGAATTAATTAAAGGGTGGGCTGGATTAATTAGAGGGGGTGAATTAATTAAAGGGGTGGTGAATTAATTAAAGGGTGGGCTGGATTAATTAGAGGGGGTGAATTAATTAAAGGGTGGACTGGATTAATTAGAGGGGGTGAATTAATTAAAGGGGTGGTGAATTAATTAAAGGGTGGGCTGGATTAATTAGAGGGGGTGAATTAATTAAAGGGGGGTGAATTAATTAAAGGATGGACTGGATTAATTAGAGGGGGTGAATTAATTAAAGGGGTGGTGAATTAATTAAAGGGTGGGCTGGATTAATTAGAGGGGGGTGAATTAATTAAAGGGGGGTGAATTAATTAAAGTGTGGGCTGGATTAATTAGAGGGGGGTGAATTAATTAAAGGGGGGTGAATTAATTAAAGTGTGGGCTGGATTAATTAGAGGGGGGTGAATTAATTTAAGGGGTGGTGAATTAATTAAAGGGTGGGCTGGATTAATTAGAGGGGGGTGAATTAATTAACGGGGGGTGAATTAATTAAAGGGTGGGCTGGATTAATTCGAGGGGGGTGGATTTATTAAAGGGGGGGTGGATTAATTAAAGGGGGAGGTTCAATGTACATACCGGTACCGTAAATAAATAAGCCCTACCCTGAAAATAAGCCCTAGTGTGTTTGTTGTGACTAAAATTAATATAAGACCCGGTCTTATTTTCGGAGAAACACGGTACTAATCCAGAGACGGGGATAATTCCGTCTAGGCGCAACAACAGTAGAGCTCTGTAGTAGCTCTGGTAAATGTGAGTGTGCATTTATCTTTTATTTTTTATCATTTGAAGTATTTACAGTACTACACTATTATTCTGTATATTTTCTCTTTGAGGTTCATTTGAATAACTACGACCATAAGGACTTGAGTACGTACACTTGTATCGTATTAAGGGCGCGGTTTCCTTTTGTGTTCTTGCTCACATTAATTAAAATGGTTACAGTGCCTGGACTCCCCTGGCACTGTCCCTCCATTCAGGGTCAAACAAGTTTTTAGTAATTTAAAGGAGCACTCCTTTGCCCAAATGGTAGAAAGGAAAAAAAAAGAATCACTATTTAGTAGATATGCCTCCAGTGAATACATGCATGAATGTTTCCTCGATCTATGAGGAAGGACGACACCCTCAAGTAAAACGTGCCTGCCACTTCCAATATCTCAGGGTAGCTAACGGACGTAGGAGGAGTTCCCTAATTCATTAAGTGCCGATTTCTCATTATTATTATTATTGCCATCTAAATAGCGCCAACAGATTCCGTAGCGCTTTACAATATGACGAAAGGGGGGGAATTTAACTATAAATAGGACCATAACAAGAAAACTTACAGGAACGATAGGTTGAAGAGGACCCTGCTCAAACAAGCATACAGTCTATAGTAATCTAAATCTGTACTTTTAAAAAGTGAGGTTAAACAATGATACTCCACACCTATAAAGCACTTCAGCAAGCCCTGCAGAACTGAAACCTATTACAAAATTAAAGAGAAACTCATTCCCCCACCATATTTTTGGGCTTACCACCCACCCCTCTAGAAAAATAATCTCAGTGTTTCTATTCTACTGCAAATAACTTTTTCCCCCCCACATAAAAACTGATGTCCCTACGGACAAGCCTCCACTGTGTCAACATGATAATGCAGGCGTGTAATTGTGTTGAGTGTAAATGTAGGGATTTATATGATTTACACAGCAGCTACTATCTTTCCCCTAGC